TGTGTGTGTGTGTGTGTGTGTGTGTGTGTGTGTGTGTGTGTGTGTGTTGAGGGTCTGATGAATGGGGGTGCTCTTACCTGTCGTGTTGATGCTGAAGAAAGGCGGACAAATTTTGGTTCGAAATGTAGTCCTTACTGTAGGTCGAAATGATGGGAATGTTTTGAAGATAAACCCTCAGTATGTACTTAGAAAGGAAACTGACAACAGCATCACAAATACTAAGTCTGCCACTTGAAGTTTTCTGAGGCTCCTCGTGTCCAGGAAGTATCAGTGCAAGGGCATTCTGTGATGTCGGAGAGTTGCTTGGGAGTAGAAATACATAACGTATAGTAACCGTAACTTACCTTATTTGTCAGTCTTCAGGATTTTTGTATCAGAAACGCTCTGAAAGAACTCCCCAGGTGAATCATGAGATGCTCTACAAAATTGGATTTTTGAGCTTAAACTTCTGCCTGATCTTAAACCTCTTACCCTCCTTCCTTGTTTTATTACAGTGTGTCGGACCAGACATGCCTATCTAACATGCCATGTGTTTTCTTCATTTTCTGTCTTCCTGTAAGCTCTGCAAGGCGGTGGTGTTTTTTGTTTGTTTGTTTTGGTTTCTTGTGGTGTTTTGTTTTTGGTATCCTTATTCATTATGTAGTCCTTAGTGCCTGGGGCATAGCTGGTGCCCAGTAAATACTGTTAATAAAAGAATGACTCTAAATTGGAGATAAGAATAACAATATTTAATATCTTTGATTGCCACGGTTTTCTTTTTTTTTTTTTTTTAAATCTAAGACAGAAATACATCAGAAAACAGTGATAACAGTTCTTCCATTCCGAGACCTTTTTCTTGAGGCGCCTGGGTGGCCTAAATGGTTAAGCGTCCAACTTTGGCTCAGGTCACGATCACAAGGTCCGTGAGTTCGAGCCCCGTGTCAGGCTCTGTGCTGACATCTCAGAGCCTGGAGCCTGCTTCCGATTCTGTGTCTCCCTCTCTCTCTCTGCCCCCCTCTCAAAAATAAGTATATATTAAAACAAAACAAAACAAAACAAAAAAAAAACCACCCTTTTTCTTTTGAATAGTTGTGGACTTAGAGAGGGTTGCAGAAACCGTACCGAGTTCCCTTATATTCTTTGGTCAGTTTGCCTAGAGTTAATATCTTGCATGACCATAGTACATGTGAGTTTAAGGAAAAGAGAGAGAGAATAAGAAATGTCTAGAATCATGGACAAACTTGGGAAGTAGAAAGGAAGTAGAAAGGAAGATGGTCAGAATGTCCATTTTTGATTTTGCATATGAGGTGAGGACCCAAAGGAAACGTCCTGTAGTTAACTGGAAGCTTCTGATAGGAGTCTAGGAAAGAGCTAGGAACTGCGAAAGCAGCGTTAGAGCATTGATAGTCGGTGAGATCTCCGACAGAGCAAAAAGAGATGCTCTGAGGTCTGAGAGCCTCCAGTGTCCATAATGAGAAGGCAAGAGAAGGAAGTGAAACCAGAACGAGGGGCCAGAGATGTGAGAGGAAAAGCAGGCTGGGCTGATGCTAGGGAAGCCATGGGGAGAGAAAGCGGGCAGAAGTATAGCTTCCTTCAGAGAGGTTGAAGCGAGTGAGGGCTGGGAGGAATGGCCAGCTCTCAGTTTGACCAAGGACCCTCTGCACCCTCAGAAAAACGCCTGCCTGGAAGAGGGATGAGAGGCAGTGTGTGGAGCCGCCTGGGTTCTCTTGAATCCACTCACTGGGACACAGACCTTACTGGAGCCAAGGCAGGGCCGTCCTCATAGCTTTTTTTCCTCCGTCAGGTCAGTGTGCTTCCCAGGTGCCTGCCGTTTCCCAAGCTGGGAAGTCAGGAGACCAGGCAGCAGCAACTGTGCTTCGGATGGTCAGGCCCCAGGTGAGCTTGAGTCTGTCTTCCCTGAGTTCCCAAGTGTGTGGTGCAGGAACAGCTAGCACTCATTTCCGGGCCCTGGCCCATTCTGAAAGTGCTCCTGTGGTTTCCCAGCCTGATTGCACCCTCTGGAACTGGGTCCTGCCTGCTGAGTTCATGAACTCTGTTTCATCCCAGCTTCTCTCCCTCCAGCACCTCTTTGCCCACCAGGGCCCCACCCTGGGCTCTGGGTACCCTGATGTCTCTGCCCTTCAGGCCGGGAATATCCCTGAGCAATAGAAGCTTGTCATTCCAGGGTTCTGCAGCGTACGAGTTCCTGTCTGTGGACTATACCGAGAGGAAGTGGAAAGGTCCGGCACTCAGTCAGAGAGCCGTGTACCGGAGCCTCATGCCGGAAAATTATCGCAGAGTGGCCTCATTGGGTAATGATTCTGTTCCCCAGTAACGTAGTCTGCATTCTATACGTTTTCTTTGCTATGTGCTTCTTTTTCAAGTTTTTATTGCAAAAAGCTGCAAACGTAAGACAAAGTACAGAGAACAGTGTAATGACCTGTCACGCACCCATCACTCAGCTTTCTAATTATAAGCAGTGTCTTTATTTCATTTTTAATTGAGCTAGGTGGTTTGGTTAGAATTTGTAGTTGTAAGGAGTAGGGAACCACTCATGTTATTGTAAGTCCTGAGTTGTGTTACTTCAGTAAGGCTGAAGGAATGGAAACCCTGATCAAACCTGCCAGCTAGACCATCCTTTGGGAAATGGGGCCCATGGAAACTGGGCCCTGACCCAGAGCAGCACAGGGTCCTCAGCAACAACAGCAAATCATTTTTATGCCAGGGAATGTGGTAGTTGCTCCCTGCTTACCTGTTTTCTCCTTCCACGGCTACCTATTTTCTTCACTCCGAACCTTTTGTCCTCTCATGGCATCTTCTTGATTAGACTTTCTGTTCCCTCATACTTTTTGCATGCCGTGGCTCCTAATGGCTTGGCTTCTCTCCTTGCCTCATTTCAGCTTAGAGCTCCTACTTGTTTTTATTTTCTTTATTTTGCCCCATTTCCAGTTGCAGATTTACTTAGAGAGGGACTCCAAGGGTGGTTCAGCCATTAAGTATCATCTCTATTTGGGCAGACTTTGCTCCTGGCCACAGCAGAGGCTGATGTGTGAGGTACAGAGAAGCTACCCTTGGGCCTGGTGCCCTGGTCAGTTGTGGTCTGAGATGTAATGAGACCAGTTGTCATGAGGCACAAAGCATGGCTGCCTCAGCTTCCGCTTCAGGAACGACGGAGGCGGGACAGCTTCCTGGAGGGGGATGTTTTGGGGGCAGGTTCTCTGGATGGCAAGTCTAGGACAGTAGCCAAATCTGAAGAGGGTGGGTGGGCTTAGGAGCCAAGGAGCCCGATATCTATAACTTTCCATGTGCTAAAATGCCATGATGGGTTGTGGCCCTGCTTAAGATGTGATTAAAAGGAACCAACATTTTTGTGTTTAGCCGTGACTGATTGCCTGCTTCTTCCCATCTTTTCTAGATTCCAAAGGAAAGATTGAACTGTTCAGTTTCCTATGATTCCAGATGACCAAGATACCAAAGACATATTTTGAGTCATATTTCAAATTATCGATCCCTTTCTTAATTTTCGTAGGAATGCAGTACTGCCTTCTACCAGTTCAGTGCCCCAGGGACTAGAGGACCCCCACTTTTAGAGCTCTGCTGTCCCCTGCATGCTTTTCTGAACCCATGGCTTCTCTGAATCTTGTCATTGTCCTCACACGTGAGAATCACTTTTTGGGGTCCGTTTTTTTCCTAATTGTGCTTGCCTACACTGTTTCTCATATTTGACTTGAGGTATTTGCCACTCCTCTCTCCCCTCAATATCTTTGCTGAGAAGCGTGGAAGCAGACAATGGCATAGTTGGAAAGGATGTTAGAGTTCATCATTTTACTAAGTGACTTCTGTAAGATCACCCGTCTGTACAGTCTGTTCTCTTGCCCTCCAGTTGCTCTTTTTTTTTTTTTTCCTTTTAAGTTTATTTATTTATTTTGAGAGGGAGAGAGAACGCAAGTTGGGGAGGGGCAGAGAGAGAGGGAGAGAGCATCCCAAGCAGTCTCTGCTCGGCGTGGAGCCCAACACATGGCTCGATCCCACGACTGCAAGATCATGACCAGAACCGATACCAAGAGTCAGATGCCTAACCGACTGAGCCACTCAGGTGCCCCTAATTGCTCTTTTGAATTGGGTAATTAATTGGAGCAATTAAGAGCTATCAGGACAGAGCTCTGTCCACTCTCTTCCCCCCCATCGTCCTTCCCCTCTTCATCTTTCTGTCCATGAAGAAAAACTTGAGCTAGTTCCCACTTTTGTCCTGTTCTTACTGTGTCGCCTCTTAATGTGTCCCCTAATGTGAAGGTTTTTCCAGATACGTAGACTCCTGATGATTCTGTTTCCTTAATAGGATGCAAAATGAATAAAAGTTGTTTTCTTCTCTCTTTTGGCAGCAAATGAGACTAGGATGGAGTGTCCAGATTTGCCTGCAAAGCAGGAAGTTTCTAAAGGACTGGGGTCATCTGATGGGACATCAGGAGGCCTCTGTGGGGTGGTTTCTGGGGAACCAGAGGCACGAACTGCCTGTGAAGGTGCTTTAGAGAAGCTGGAAGGGCAACCCTCAGATGAGGAAGGGAGCAGACTGGAAAGTGATTTCTTCAAACTAACACACAAGGATAAAGGTAAATCCACAAAAGATGGATGTGATGAATATAAGGGTCCAAATCTGTCCTCTAGTGCTACAGAACATCAGAGAGTTCTCAAGGGACAGAAATTTTACCAGTGTGATGAATGTGGTAAAGCTTTTAATTGGAGTTCACATCTCATTGGGCACCAGAGAATCCATACTGGAGAGAAACCCTATGAGTGTAATGAGTGTGGGAAGACTTTCAGGCAGACCTCTCAGCTCATAGTTCATCTCAGAACCCATACAGGGGAAAAACCCTATGAGTGCAGTGAGTGTGGAAAGACTTACCGACACAGCTCCCATCTTATTCAACACCAGAGACTCCATAATGGCGAGAAACCATATAAATGCAGTGATTGTGGAAAAGCTTTCAACGAGAGTTCCAAGCTCTTTGACCATCAAAGAACCCATACTGGAGAGAAACCTTATGAATGCACTGAGTGTGGGGCTGCCTTTAGTCGGAGTAAAAATCTTGTTCGACATCAGGTACTTCACACTGGTAAGAAACCTCACAAGTGTAGTGAATGTGGGAAAGCTTTCTGTTCTAATAGAAATCTTACTGATCATCAGAGAATCCATACTGGCGAAAAGCCTTATGAGTGTAATGAATGTGGCAAGGCCTTCAGTCGGAGTAAATGTCTTATTCGACATCAGAGTCTCCACAGTGGGGAAAAACCGTACAAATGCAGTGAGTGTGGGAAAGCCTTTAGTCAGATCTCTCAACTTGTTGATCATGAGCGAATTCATACTGGAGAAAAACCTTTTGAATGTAATGAATGTGGTAAGGCATTCAGTCTCAGTAAATGTCTTATTCGACATCAGAGACTTCACACAGGTGAAAAGCCCTATAAATGCAACGAGTGTGGAAAATCCTTCAATCAGAACTCATACCTCATTATACACCAGAGAATTCACACTGGTGAGAAGCCTTATGAATGTAATGAGTGTGGGAAGGTCTTTAGTCATAATTCTAGCCTTATGGTTCATCAAAGAACCCATACTGGGGAGAAACCCTATAAATGCAATGATTGTGGGAAAGCTTTTAGTGACAGCTCACAGCTCACTGTGCATCAGAGAGTTCACACTGGAGAGAAGCCCTACGAGTGTATTGAGTGTGGGAAAGCCTTTAGTCAGCGTTCCACTTTCAATCACCACCAGCGAACTCACACTGGAGAGAAGCACTCAGTTCAGGCTCGCTCAGTTAGTTAAGACATTCTCCAAAACAAAGCCAGAAACTTGAGTTAAATTCATTGTTTTTGTAAGATGCTCACCCTGATCTCTTGGTATCACTGATGAACAGCCATTCCCTACATTCTGCTGGGTCATAAAGTTGGGAGAGTCACAGTGACATCATTCCCCACTATCAGGGAAGTAAGAACGACAGATTTCAGATAGTTGTAGGTTTCCTTCCTTCTCTCTCTCTTCAAAAATATAGCTCTGGTTTTTGAATCCCATAGTCAGATTGTGTGCTTGTCAAAGACAGTGATTACATGCTTCTTTTCTATTGCAGCTAATTCATTTCACATTTACATAAAGTTACTCTCTAGTGCTCTGATACTTACCTATCTTGGGCATGGCCTTTTCAAAAGTTCTGTTGTGATCTAGATCCTCATCACTTGCATTCCCTACCTAGAAAAGCTCTTCTTATTTGTTAATGTTGGCCTCTCAGACCCTTTAAGATCCAGCTCATCTCAGAAAGACTTTCTTCTTGAAATGCTTTTCCTTCCTCCTAAACTTCTGTTGATTTGACCTCATGCTTCAACTTACTTTGTGCTGTAATTTGCAATTGTTATTAAATTGTCTTGACAACTATTCTCAATGCATATGTGTATAGTTTCATACCAATTTAATGTAGGCTGTTTGAGGTTGGGTATGAGATCTTTGTCTTTTAGCACATAGACAATTCTCATATAGTAGTTGTTTAATAAATAAGTTTTAAAAATTCATCTCTCCAGCCTTTTTTAACTGAGCATGAACTCCCCTTCCACCACTGGACCAAAGACTTAAAGATGAATATCATAGGATACCACATACAAAAGCCTCATTCATATTTTCTGAGTATACCTCTGGAAGTCTTCCTGCTATTACCTCAGCCTCAAAGAGCTATTGATTTGTGCTAGAGCATCCCTCTGTGTGTGCTTGTGTATACGTGTTGTCCAGGTGTTGGAGTCAGCACTCATGTTCCCCTGATAACATACTTTTCCCTGTTTTCTGTGATTGGAATTCACAGTGACTCTGATATCCCTATCAGGTAGTTCTCTCTACCTGCAACTGCCATCTAATTTCAAGGTGAGAGGAGTACACTTAACTATTGTAATTATCTTCTGGATCATCCTTAATTCCCTATAAGGATAAGAAACAGTAAGTCTTTTTAGAGTCCTACAGTCATATATGAGACATTAGCTTGAACACCTTCTCCCAGTCTCGCAGGAAGGCCCCAGTGCTGGGGAGCTGTTGCCTCTGGTGTCCAACCCTTTCCTCTTAGGGCAGTAGGATTAATAATGTGGTATAGGAGGAGGAGGTTAGAAGGGCAATATTAGATAGGTAGCCTGGAGGGGAGAGATTTTTATGAGCTGTGATTTCTGTCAGACAATGGAGAAGAAAGAGAATTGAGTCTCAAGAAAATACAAAATACATGTCATTTGGGGGGAGGCATCTCAGAAAAAGTCAAAAGAATATTTATTGGAGAGGTCTATAAAAACTGCTGAACCAAAGACACAATTAGAAATTTCCCATCTGTAACTTTTAAATTAGATTTTTGTTTTAAGATGTCTTTGTGGTGTTTATTTCCATTTTCCTTTATAAAATCTGCAGATGGGACTTTCTTAAAAGTGTTTTATCTTAGGAGTGCCCAGATGCTGGGAAGGAACCTGACTCTGTAATAGCACATGGGCCCATCCTTCCTCTGTGATTTGCACATTACTGGTCATGTCTTCAGTGAAAAACCCTGCCTATTGGATGCTGTAACTGTTTGTTGTGTGCTCATCTTGTTACCATCCTGAGTCTCTCTGGAGGGGGAAATCCAGCACTATTCATGTTACTCCCCACTACCAATCTGGTATAGGTGTTCAGTAGGAATGAATGTCCTTACCTCCTGGAAAAGTACTCAGGCTCTTGCATGGAGGAAGATGGGCTATATATGAAAGCCATACCTCAATTTCTTTTGGTATTGCTAGTATTAAAAAAATTACTGAGTTTTAAAAATGTTATTTGGATCCAATTGCTTTGCTAAATTATTTTTAATAGCAAAACTATTAAAGTTTTTTTGTTTCATTTCCTAGCTTTTGTAAGTATACAATAAATAATGGTTAGTGTTCTCTTAATTTCCAATCTGTATGTCACTTAAGTTGTGTGTTAGCAAAAATTTTTAAAATAAAAAGTTTTTTCATGTTTATTTATTTTTGAGAGAGAAAGAGAGACAGAGTGTGAGTAGGGGAGAGGCAGAGCGAGAGGAAGACACAGAATCTGAAGCAGGCTCCAGGCTCCAAGCTGTGAGTACAGAGCCTGACGTGAGGCCTGAACTCCTGAATTGCAAGATCATGACCTGAGGTGAAGTTGGATGCTTAACCTACTGAGCCAGCCAGGTGCCCCTCTCCCCCCAAATTTTTAAATAGTGGTCAATGGACATTCCATGTCTTGTTTGTAACTTTCAGGGGAAATGTTTTGGCATTTTGAAATTGCATACAGCGTTCACTCTTGTTGGTTGCTGCTAAATATTCTTGTGTTTAGGAAGTTTTTTCCCATTGTTTTTAGAAGAAGTAATACAGTATAGTGGTTAAGAGCCTTTGTACAGTACTGTACAAAGAGCCTTTGTACAGTAGGTACAAAAGCCTACAGACTTTGTACCTTGCACCCTTGTTCAAGTCTTGGCTCCACCAGTTTCTTAGGTGTGTGGCCCTGGGCAAGTTACTTAGCTTCTTTGTATCTCAGTTCTTTGATCTGTAAAAGGGAGCTGCCTCATAAGGTTGTGAGGACAAAATTAGTTCATAAGTGTAAGACACTTAAAATGGTACTTGACACTATAATAATGATACCCACTGTAATAATTACAATACTTAGAGTTTTTATTAGGTTGGTTGGTAAGTTTTCTATTTTTCAGGTTTTTTTTTTTTTTTTGCATTCTAAAAATCACATTTATTGAGTCATAAAATAGGTGTACAAACTACATCTATTTAAAGTATACCATTGAGTGAGTTTTGATAGGAAACTCCATGCAGGAATTCATCTCCACAATGAAATACAGAACATTTGCATCGTCCCCAAAAGAGACCTCCTATAGCCCATTCCTATTCTGGCTAAAGCCCCAGGTAACTACTGATCTGCTTTTTGTTACTGTAGATTTGTTTACCTTTTTAGAATTTTATAAAAATGGGTATATCTCTACTAATGAAAGCCAGGGAAGGTGCTTGGCATGTTCCAGGGTACCCCACCTCAGCTCCTCTGTGAAGGTCTGGGGGAATGGGTATGACTAGGGCCACCAGAACATTGTAGGCTGTTGGAATTCTTGAGAGGAGTTTGTTAAGAGGGTCTGGGTAGTACTGGTGCCTTAAGGTGGAAAGAATTAGCAAATTGAAGTAAATCTAGGAAGATAGGAGGATATCTAGTAATGATAACTGAATCATATCTATCTGCCTACATAATTTCTGAAACATAAACAGGCAAAGACATAATTGGGCCATCATCATATGATATTGATACAGTAATTAGGGAGCTTGGGAAGATGGCAGAGTAGGAAGACCCTGAACTCACCACGTCCCGCATTCTGAGCTAGATACCATCCACATCCAAGTCAGTAAACCAGAGAGTGATCCAAAGACTGTCAGAACAAACTCCACAAGTAAATATAGAGAAGTTGCATCTGAAAGGTTAGAATGGTCAGAAAGGCAGAAAGAGGCTGCCTGCAGGAGGGAGGGAGCTGCACACACAAAAAGGATGAGGAACTGGCCCTTTAACCAGGGAACTCACATGGGGAAGGCATCCCCTAGCATTTGGCTTTAAAAATTAGATGGGCTGAATTCTGTGAGTTTTTAAAACCAGTGAGTCTGGGAACGTGGAGCTTTGGAGGTCAGCTGATGAAGCACTAGGCAAGCCAGGAGGGCAAGTGATAGCTGGGTTGCTGCCCTTAGTGGCCTGCATGGAAAGGGACATAAAAACGGCAGTTTGTGCAACACCATGAGCAAATAGGAGACGAATCTGTTCATACTGATTTTGGAGTCTGTTGGGGGACCTTGAAAACAGAGTTTTCAAGTTTGAAAACAGAGTTGGCAGTCCCATTTTCTTCCCATACTCCCCAGTAGAAGCACAGAAATACGTGGGGGAGGCAGAGTAGCATAGCCACTTGCTACCTAACCTGTTAGCAGTGCACTGGGCCCCGGGAAAATTTTGTTAAAGCTGTGTGGGTGCCCAGCTGCTAGGTACACAGCTGCCACCACACGTCACACATACCTGCCATGCTTTGCCCAGCTGTGTGCCCCCAGCCACCCTCATGTGTCTCACCCAGCTGCACGCTGGCCACAATTGTGTGCTGTGCCTGTGTGACTGGCCATGTGCCCCCAGGCCAGGCACCACCAGACACCATTTTACACCACACCCAGTTGCATACCCCTGCTGCAGTTGCCTACCTTGCCCAGCCACCAGGTACACAGTTCTAGCCTAGCCCAGACACTGTGCCAGGCCCAGCTGCCACATCGCACCCAGCTGTGCATCCCCAGCCACAGCAGTGCTTCAGGGGATCCTGCATAGGACTAGTGGCCTACCGCAAATTTTGCTAACACCATTGCCCCCCTCCCAAGGTTCCCAGCAGGCATACCTCCCACCCCCACTGAGTTCACCTGCCTGAGTACCATTAATCCCACAGCAAGCACACCCCACAACAGGCAGAGAGTCAGTGCAGACAACTGCACTGAAAGGAAAAGTGATTTAGACACAGCGGCAGAGCATAAGCAACACACATAGGATATTCTCCTGAAGTGCCAGGTTCTGGTGAACAGGGGAGACTGCACTCCAGGGCACTCTGGGAACTCTTTTTCATAAGGTCACTACTCTCAAGAACAGAAGATACAGTTGACTTAACACAGAGAAACAGAGCGGCAGACAAATTGAAGAGACAGAGAAATTTATGCCAAATGAAAGAACAGGACAAGACCAAAACCAGAGATCCAGGCAAAACAGATATAAATAACATGTCTAATAGAAAATTTTAAAAAGTGATTGTAAGGATACTCATTGGACTTGAGAAAAGAGTGGAAGACATGAGTGAGACCATTAAGATAGGAATAAGGAATAACAGTAGAGATAAGGGCATAATAAGTGAAATGAGAAACACACTTGATAGAATGAACAACAGGATGAAAGAAGCAGAGGAACAAATTAGTGACCTGAACAACAGAGTAATGGACAGGAATCATGCTGAACAAAAGAGAGAAAAGAATTATGCAAAACAAGAATAGAGAACTCTGACTCCATCAAGTGCAATAACATTCGTATTATAGGAATCCCAGAACAAAGTGTCACAGAAAGCTTATTTGAAGAAATGATAGCTGAAAAATTCCCTAATCTGGGGAAGAAAACAGATATCCAGACCAGGACACACAAAGAATGCCTAACAGAATCAACAAAAGAAGACTAAAACATGTTATAATTAACTTTACAAAATACAGTAATACAGAAAAAAAATGATAAAAGCAGCAAGACAACAGAAGGGAAAACCCATAAGGCTGACAGGAGATTTTTCAACAGAATTCTGCAAGTCAGAAAGTGGCATGATATATTCAAAGTACTGAATGAGAAAAATCTGCAGCCAAGAATACCCTATCCAGTGTCATCATTCATAGTAGAAGGAGGGATAAAGAGTTTCCCAGACAAACAAAACTAAATGAATTTGTGACCACTAAACCAGCTTGCAAGGATTATTAAGAGAGACTCGTTGAATGGAAAGGAGAGACCA